CTCCCTCATGCCCTTTAATCTTCTTGCCTTTCTAAACATTTACAAAGTTAGGATAAAACAGGATGCAGTGGGGAACTGTTCACAGTGGAAGGCCAGGTAAAAAAAGAAAACTAGAATATCTAATTTTCCAATTGAATGAAAACTTGCTTGAACTAGCAGCAATTCCAGCTGCCTTACTGAGGCATTACTCTGAAGCAGGCAATATGCTACATTCTTTTCACATGCTACCTTCACAAAAACCATAAGAGTAGCAAGTTATTATTCTGCTTTCACAAGACAAGGAAACTGAGATTCAAAGATACTAACTGAATCTCCCACAAAAATCAGGGCTCTCAGACTCCTACGGTATGAGTGTTTGTGTCCCCCATAAAACCCATGTGTTGAAAAATTACCTCCCTATGATGCTGGTATTAAGAGAAGGTCTATTTAGGGGGTGATTAGGTCCTAGGGATGGTTATAAAGGAGGCTCCAGGCACCTGCTTGCTGTACCCACCAGATCAGGACCACAGAAGGCCTACGTGTGAGAAATAGGTCCTTGCCAGACACTGAATGACCTGTTACCTTGATCTTGAATTTTCCAGCTTTCAGAACGGTGAGCCATAAATCTCTGTTGTTTGTAAACTAGCCAGTTTTAAGTTTCATGTTATAGCAGCCAAAGGAACTAACACCTCTGTTTCAGTGTCCCTGGAGTCTGTACTGTCCACTCTGTATCTTAATGGTGCCTCTTCTCAAAGTTCTGGAGGTCCATGCTCTTGACTGAGAAAAAGACCGTTCAGTAAAAGCTAAGTTAACAAGAACATTGGTCAYGGGAGCCTTTTAGTTTTAGTATATCCACACAACCATCATCCTTAGCCCCAAGCGGCCCCTGAGGTTGGAACTCAACAATAGACAGTGAAGATCAGAAAAGAAGCCAGGAATGTTTGCAGAGCTTCATGTGATGCAGCAAAGTCCACTGGTAAAGAACTCCTGAGACTTACCTGCCTAGTGGAAACAGAATTGTCTCCTGAAAATTGTTACACAGAAGGTCAACAAGTTCACTGTGTGCAGACAGCCCATTGAACACAATCGGCGTTTTTTGAGAATGGCTGAGTAGAAGAACTGAGCACCCTAAGTTAATCGCCAGTAAGGAAGTTCCTCCTCTCACTAACTCACCAATGCTACATCAACTTATTAAGTGAGGACTGTTAACCAGACACTGGAGAAACAGCAAAGATGAGGCAACTCCTGTCAAATGACAGTCTCAGTATGTAGGAACCTCTGCATTGAACTCATCTGCTGCTTATTACAGGCCCCAGCCTTGGCCCAGAATCAGAATATCTGCAGTAGAAGTTGGGAATATGCACTTTGTAGAAGCTTTCTCAATGATTCTTGTGCACACTCAAGGTTGAGGACCACTGGTTTGAGAGACAGTGTCAACATATGATAAGTGGATAGACACTCAGGATCTCAGAACACAAAGCAACAATGCCTAACCCAAATATCTTTTAGTGAAACAGTAGCTATCCAGTTTAAAAAGAAGTGAAGAGATTTTTAAATGAGACTAACATTCAACAGAAGAAAGGCAGACCGTGTGATCCTTACGGAGCAAGGTAGAAGATTAGGAGAAAACCCAACTCTTCATTGGACTTGCAAGTACATTTCTAATTCTCATGCCAAGATCTGATTCCATCCAAAAAATAAAAATAAACTACCTGATATCAACTCTGCCATGAGCTTCCCTCCAACTTTTGCAAATGCGGATAATAATAGTCTGAGTTCCTAATTTTTGTCTATGTCTCAATGTGGCATCACCAGGAAGCCTATAAATTAGTCAACTGTTTAAAAGTTCAGTCTTAGAAGGAAGGAAAGCTTGGGGGTTATATCCTGGTCTGCCACTGACTGTTAAATCGTGTAACTTCTCCGAACTTTAATCTTCTTATCTGCAAAATCAGAAAAATCACCAAGAATGCAAGAAAGCAATGCTGGGTGCCATGACACACCAAGAAATACCATCATAGCTTTGGTATTTCTTCCCAAACTGCAAAACCAGAATCTAATTGGTAGAATGCATCAAAAAACTGCAAATTAAAGAATTTCCCATAAAATAGCTGTCCGGTACTCTAGAAAATTATCAGGAAAGATAAAGACTGAAGAATTGTACCAGATCAATGGAGACCAAAGAGACATGACAATAAATATAGTACTGATTCCACTCAGGATATTAGACTATGGAGCAAATAACTATAAAGGACCTTATTGCAACAATTGATGACATGTGAATATGAACTGTGAAGGGTGAATTTGATAATAGTGCTCAATTTCCTAGTTTGTGTACATGTACCATATATTAAGATGATTTATTTCTTAGAAAATACATACTGAATCATTACAGTAAAGGTGCGTGGTACACATGTGACCCCCTCAAGTCATTCAGAAAAAGCACAGGTAAAGAGTTCTTCGTAGCCAGGTGTGGTGGTGCACGCCAGTAATCCCAGCAGTTTGGGAGACTGAGGCAGGAGCATTACAAGTTCAAAGTCAGCCTCAGCAACTTAGTGAGGTCCTAAGCAACTCAGTGACACCCTGTCTTTAAATAAAATATTTTTAAAAAGGGCTGGGGATGTGGCTCCGTAGTTAAGTGCCTTGGGTTCAATCCCTAGTACCAAAAAGTAAAAATAGTACATAAATAAATAAAGAGTTCTTTGTACAGTTTTCACAATTTCTCTGTGTTAAAAACCATATAAAAATGGTTACTCCTCAGAACTATCAGGCCATGAAGAAAAAAAAAAAAGGAAACACTATGAAGCCATCAAAGATTGGAGAAGATCAAGGAAATAGAACAACTAAATACAATGTGGCTAGTATTCTTGGATTGTTGGATTGGATCCTAGAACCAAAAACAAAACAAACAAAACAGGAAATTAGTGGAAAAACTTGTAAAATCCAAAAAAAGTATGTAGTTTAGTTAATGTAATGTACCAATATTCATTTCTTAGTTTTGACAATTGTAGCAAGATTTTGCTAAGGTGTTAATGTTAACATTAGGGGAAACTGGGAAAAGGGTATAAGCGTAAGAGTATACAATCTCTGCAATTTTCTATAAATCAGAAAATATTGTAAAATTAAAATATTATTTTTTAGAAAAGTACTAAAACACACACACACACATAGCAAAGAACACTACACCAACTCCCAAATACGAGGGAATATATACATATCAAGAGTTGCTGTGTTAAAGCAGAGATTTGCAAACTCTACCAACTGTGGTTGAGTCTAAACTTAATAGTTCCTCAGAACCACTAAATTAAGGTTCTCTTGTGAGGAAGCCATCAAGAACATTTATTGGAACAGGAGCCCCAGGTGGTTCTGATAAGCACCAGGTACTCAGCTCAGCACCTCTCAGACTTAACAGTGCACAAAGACACCCCAGAGATCTTGTTAATGTGCACATTCTGGACTAAAGGTCTAGGAAAGTCCTAAGAATGTGCATTTCTAATGAGCTCCCAGGTGATGTTCAAGCATCTGGTCCTCATCCCCAAGTACCAAGAAGGGCAACGCAAGAAGGCAGAAGGGCCTGGGTACACACTGCCAAGCAAACTCGTGTTAATGCAGAACAGCAAACGTGTGAGACCAACTTCTGGAAGTTACTGTTCTCTTACATTGTAACCAAATCTAATCCTAAAATAGGTTTAATTGGCACCAAGTATTTCTTAAAGGTAAAATTTAACCAACAACCTTTAAAAAACCACACCTGCTACCTGACAAATGTGTACAAAACTACTATCCATCTCTACTCTAATTGCATAGGTCACTTCTAGAGTCAGTCTCTCTCTCTCTCTCTCTCTCTCTCTCTCTCTCTCTCTCTCACACACACACACACACACACACACACATACACACACCCTAGAGATCAATTAAAACAATGTAAGATGCGGATTGAATCCTCACCTTTTGACAAAAAACCCCTAAATATACCCTTTCTTACATTCAAGTTTAAGTTCAACTAACTCTTATACGACCTGTATCATTTAATGATTCCTTTGGATTCACAAGATGCCATATAACCCTGACATTTATTTTCTTATCTTCAACCAGATAATGAAATCTCATCAGGAAAAAAGTTGCAAATCATAAATATAAAATCATATCAGAAACATAAAATTAAGAGTTGCTATGGTATCCTAATTTTGAAAATGTAGAAAACCATGTAGAATCCTGTTATTATATGTGTTTTGGAATCCATAAATGTATATTAAATCACAACCTTTTTTACTTCAGTCATTTTCTCTAGAATGACTATAGTACAATAAACACAAAATACTCTTCCTTAGACTATCTCTAATCAAACAGTGAGAACCACACCACATGACTGTCAAGATCCAAGCTGAAGGATGCTTTGAGAGGTAAAATCATTCTCATAAACCATCATGATATTTTTTCACTCAATAAATATTTACTGAGTATGTATTACATGCCAGACAGTATGCTAGGCACATTGTGAATTCTATACTAGTAATAAAATTACAGTTGACTGGGATCCAAGACTGAGCCCCTCTATCCTAATTTTATTATAAAGCTGTTAAAATGACAAAGTGCTAATGTACCTGTTGGCTGCTTCTGCAAAATGCAATGAGAAAAATGATTTTAAAATTAAAGTTGTGTGTTGCTTATGTGAAAACAAACTGCACATATTCATGTGTCATTGCAAGGCAGGGTTGGGACAGCCTCCACAGTGTCAACTGCTCAGAGCCCAATCCACAGTCCCTCCCGCCTCTTCTGTGCTTCAGACACAAACCCCGTATTGACACAATTCAAGTAGATGCTGCAAGAATATAAAAACCCCATCCATCGCCACTGCATGTGGTACAGAAATTAAACTACACTGCAACTATTATTGTACATATTTTTCAGCACAGCAACAGAGAGCAAAAAGTGGAAAAAAAGGGGCTATCCAAAGTCTATAAACATTCTAGTATAGAAAGGAAACTGAAAATAACCACCCCACCGCCGTGGGCATTACTAACCTGATCGATTTCCATGAGCTTGGGGTAGGCTCCCGGCCATTCTATGGCCACCTTGACGATGTCCGCGGGTGGCGGCATTGTGAACCCCAAGACTGTCCAAAGCCCTCGGAACTGAGGATCCTACGGCGTGGACGGCCACACGTGTCTACACCTAAGGAGGAATGACAAAAAGAGAAAGAGAAGTCGTTCAGTGCAGATGCAGGGCAAATTCTGCTTCATCACTTCCTGTTTTCACTGGTGGTTTAGGTTTAAGAAACGGCTCCCCTTGGCGCAGGGTGCTGAAGACACAGAGGGTGCACCACAAGCTCCTGAGGAAAGAAGAAAGATGGGGGGACTGTGCCAACACCCAGGAGTTAAACTCTCCAGGGGATGCTGCCCTGTGGGTCCAACTTGTGCAACTTCTGCATGGGAAGGCAGCAGCCCCCTTACCACCAGGTTCTGCTCCCACCAGTGCCCAGGCGCTGAATGGGCAGGGCTTACCCTGTCCAGACACACATGTCAGCGCCTGGCGCTCAGCAGTCTCCGGAAGGACACATTGCCCAGGAAGTCATGGTCAGGAAGCAGCTTTTATTTAAAGCATTTTCTGTGTCACAAATAGATCTCCGCACTATAGCAACCAGGATATCATGAGGAAGGAGCAATGCCCTGAGAGTTCACACACGTACACAACACACATTCCCCAAGGCCAGTTCATACAATGTGTCTACGGGGAAAGAAAATGTACAGGAGCGGATAGGACCACATTCAGAAGCGACCTTGAGTTCTCCTTTGAAGCGTTGATTACACAAAGGAAGTAACAATCATCCTCTACTGCCTCTCCCCATTTCTTTATTAAACTTAATTTTTTAAGTGGGTAAAACGGCCATGTGATCCTGTGTGTGTGTGAGTGTGTGTGTGCGCGTGCATACCAAGATGTACAGAGTAGTCCCCCTTCCCCATGTCACACACTATTCAATATTCACTTATACCCCTTCAAGCCACCCAAAGTAATTTGTTTTTTTATGCCTTCCTCCTGAATGTCTTCATGTATGGAAGACAAACACAAAAAATCCCATTGCATGTTACCCTCTCTTTACATAAAAGATAGCATTGTACCCTCTCCTTCTTTTTCATTCAGCCTATCTTATCAATCTTTGCATGTGACTACAATGGAGCATCCTTAATCTGTACACAGCTACACTGCAGCCAGATGTAGGATGTTTCCTAGCTGGTGAACCAGGTCTCTCTTGTGGGTGTTTAAATGATTTCCTACCTTTGGCTATGATAAACAAGACTGGGATACATTAAGCAAAGCAAACATCATTTTTGCATATGTGAAAGTATATCCTTGCAAAATAGTCACAGAAGTTAAAACTGCTAGAGCAAAGAGCATATGAAGTTTTACATTTTGAGAGTCATTTTCAAATGTCCCTCACAGAGGTGCCACCAATTTAGATGCTTCCTCCAGCAGCATACGAGATTGACTGTTCACACATTCCTCCAACAGAGTTTTCACAAGCCTGACAGGTTGAAAAACATCACAGTGTACTTGTAACTTGCATTTTTCTGATTTTGAGTGAGGCTGGATGAAGGGGAAAATGCACATGTTCAATTTCCTGTGAACTGTCCTTTGCCCTTTTCTGTCAAGTTCTTGGTCTTTTTTTTTTTTTTTTACTTTTTAAGAAAATGATCTCTTTATGAAGATTTAAATGAAACATGTGGCTTTCATTGTTTATCAGACCAGAGCAAGCCTTGTCAGTCTGTCCCAAATCTCAATGGCAGTTGGACATCGCTGTGATGATAGAGATAGCAGAGCTAATAATGGCAGCCTCCACAACATAAATAACCAACTTCAGCAGAGCTGACAAGTCAAGGAAATGAACCAAAACAAACTGCTGCTCCTTTGGCCAAGGATGATCAGGCAGGCCTGCTGTGAAGCTAATCAGTGATGACCAGAGAGGGCAAATCTACAAAGCAGTGGCTGAATCACTCATTCAACAAATAATCATTGAGCCTCTACTCCAAGCCAGGCCTATTCTCCAGGCTAATGATACAGCAGCAAACCTAGGTGTCAGGCAGAAAAAAGAGCATAGCTAAAAATAAAACTTCACTAAGAAGGCAGTACTTGAGTACACACCTATGAGAGATGAGGAAGGGGCCTTGTGGGAAATCATGTCCCAGGCATAGGAAACAGCAAGTGCGAGGGCCCCGAGGCAGGAACATACTAGGTAATAGTGAGTTGTTGAAGCCAAGTAAGGGTAAGAGTAGTAAGAGAATGAGTTGGGTCATACCTTGGCAGGCTTATCCCCAGGCCCTTGACCCCTTTGGAGCCCGATGATACCCCTTGGCTTGTGACTTCGAAAGAAGGAAGTTCATGTCCATGCACATCTGTTCAGAGTATAAATTTCCCAGGGGACCTTTTCCAAAATGCCGAAAATCTTGCATTCCATTTGAGTAATTTTAATTTTCTAGGCTGTTATCCTCAAGAAACAATTATTAACCTAACCATAACAATACCAACTGCTGCTTTGTTTCTAACTCCCCAAACCTGCAAACAGTTGGATATGTAACAATAGGGACTTGTTAAATAATTATRGTGTCTCATATGTGCAAACACAAGCAGACAATTGGGCTTCCTCTTAATAGTCTGCACTCTGTTTGAATACTTTAGCATTGGAAAAACAATGCATTCTATCTGTACTATATCACTTCCATTCAGAATCCAAATTCAGCTTCTACACCTTAGAATAAGAGTTAAGAAATCAAGCTCTACTGTGCACCCAGATTCTGTCCCTATCAGGTAACACCACTGGAAACAAAGGGCACACAGTCCTGGGGGTTAAATAAATAGGTCATGGAAATAAAAATGCAGTTTAAGCACCACCTCCCCCTTCATAAAACACCAAGACTGCACCTGAGGAGGCCATTTAACATTCTAGGAATCAAAGGCCAGGCTTGTTTTCCTGCCCCTTTAACTGGCATTTATTTCTCAAAGACTGCTCAGGGAAAACCTGCTGAACAGGTGAGAATACAATAAGGAGGCTCTCCCAGGTCTCCTAAGAGGCCATGGTGGACAAAGCGGCCATTGAGAGGAGGAGGAAGCAGGGGCTTCCCTGGGGACTCACTCAGCCCAGCTAAGCCAAGCTGACCTTGCGGGCTTCCCCCATGAACAAACCGCAAGGGTGGGGGCAGCAGCATGTCTCCTCTGGGGTGGAGGCAGCTACCCAACTGCAGACAGAAAAATCCAGTCCACATTTTACCCTCAGGAGTCCACATTTCTGTCCTCTCTGATTTTCATTTCCATGAGGACACAGCAAGCTCTAAAGGCAGACCCTGTTGCTTCTGATGGAATTCTGGGGAGGTTTCCAGCTCTGGCTTTCTCACACTTGATACAATTAGCAGTTGGGGCCATAATTATTGTTGGGGGCAGGGGGCTGCTCTGTGCATTGTAGGGAGGTGGCAGCATCCCTGGCCTCTTCCCATGATTAAAGGTCAACAGCCCTCCTCAGTCACCACAATCAAAAAATGTCTCCAGATGGCCAGATGGCCTCTAGGGGACAAAAAATCATCCCTGGTTGAGAGGCTATAAGCTACCAGATCCGCCAGGCAGAGTACTAATGATCAGGGCGAGCCATCCTTGACCTGACAAGAGGCAAAAGGCCTCATTAAGCTCTGCAGGAAATATCAACACACAGGCCCAAACTCTTTGTTGTCAATAACAGAGATGGAAATGCACTTTTAAATCTTTAGCCAACACATTCACTATCTTGCTGTCCTTTGCTTCCCCCCAGCAGAGCATTTGTGGCACGTGACTCTTGTTGTCAACTTCTCTCCACTGCACTTGGACACTCTGGATGCTAGACCCACATGCAGTTCACAGTTACATATCCGGGGTCAGTCAGGCAGGCATTTTAACACATGGTGGTTGGACAGCAGACTTTGCATCTATTCTGTGATTAACATCTCATTAGAGCTACCAGCGGTTAAACTGAGTCTAGTGTCAAAAATCACCCAAGTAGATACCTAGGGTTTTAGTCAGTATTTTTCGTTGCTTTGACCAAAAGACCAGACAAGAAGAATTTTATTTGAGGCTCACGGTTGCAGAGATCTCAGTTCATAGATGGCTGACTCCATTCCTCAGGGCCTGAGGTGAGCTAGGACATCATGGTGAAAGAATGTGGTGGAGGAAAGTGGCTCAGGACACAGCCAGAAGCAGAGAGAGAGAGAGAGAGAGAGAGAGAGACAGAGAGACAGAGAGAGCAAGAGCACGCGCTCTGCTCAACAAGACAAAATATATACTCCAAAGACACACACCCCCAGGGACCTACCTCCTCCAGCCATTCCCTACCTGCCTACAGTCACCACCCAGTTAATCCCTGTCAGGGGATTAATGCACTAATTAGGTTAAGGCTCTCATAGCCCAATCGGTTCATCTCTAAACCTTCTCACATCCTCTCCCACAGGAGCTTTTGAGGGACACCTCACATCTAAACCATAATACCTTGTATTGTTTGAACTGCCCGATAAATATAAGCAATACAGATTTGTGTAGACAGCCTGTACTTGTACACAAACTGAAACTTTTAGATGTACTCAACGGAGAAGCAAAAGGCAAACTATGCAGCTGACTGGACATTCCAACCACTCAGCCTTCTAATGCTACTGTTGAAGCCAGATTTAAAGTTAGGTAGTCAGTGTAGTTAGGTAAATCAGGTCTAATATCGAGTGAAATCTAAAATGGAGGCCATGTTGAGAATGAATTCCCGGGAAAAGTTGAGCAACTCTCTCGGAATGTTAATGAAGTCCAGGAAACAGCCCCCAACAGATTTGAAGATAGTCCATCCCAAAGAAATGTTAATGAAGAGCAAACTTGAAGATGCTGACTCAGAAGTGCCCAGATTATTTCTTTGGCCCACCTGTGTCCCAACCCTTCTGGGCCTTCCCACCTACATTCCATCACCGAAAACTATAAAATGGAGACACAACCGCACTTCCATGGATTCCATCTCTTGGGTCCCCTTCTTCCTCTGAAAGAAGTCTTTTCTGCTGTCCTTTAATAAACTTCTGATTTTCCACTCTGACCTTGCCTCGGCGTGCTTCTCTGGTGTTATTCTTCAACATTGGGGAAGCAAGGACTCAACAGTGGTAACACTATCAAATCCCTGGAGGCAG